TTATGCTCATTAAGGCTGTATTTATTTGATCAAAAATACGAAGAAAAAAACAGTAATATTGTGAAATATTATTGTAATTTCTAATATTGGCTTCCTATTTTAATATGTCCAGAAATTTCTTCGGACAAGAATTTCTGTCAAACCTTAGACTGCATAATTGAGATCTGTTGTGATTAATGACTTCATGAGTTTTGGTCTGTTCCTCAAACAAAGCCATTGAACACATTGAATGTAACATATTGATAGACCTTATTTTTTTCCTTTGTCATTTTAGAGCATTTTAAATCACCATCCAGCACCACTTTCATTATAAGCTAAAGAACATCTTGGATATTCTGCATAAGATCTCCTTTTGTGTTTCTTGGAAGAAAGAAAATAATACAGGTTTGAAATGACATGAGAGGGAGTACATTTCCATTTTTGGGTGAACTAATGCTACATACCCATGAGGAGTGCTCCTTCATCTGGTGCTGGTTGCTATGGGGACCACTGGCATGACCACGCCAGAAGCAGCTCTGACAAAGCTGGTAGCCATGGCACTGCTGGCAGCGGTAGCGGAAACCCATCATGCTCTCACTCTGGCAATAAGAACATTCCACTGGATGGAAGACTGCGGGACAGCAGCACAAAGGCTCTCAGACAGTCACAAACCGCGTTTTAACTGAGCCATATTTTGTGAGCGAGGTGTCCAGACGCAGTGGGTGATGGGAAATAAGATAAAAAAGCCACGTACCATTCTCTACATTAGCGAGTCGGTGCATGAGAGGTAGCCATACGAGGCACTGCGGGGGTGGATCTGCCATCAACACATCCAAAAACGTATTCAGCAAGATCTTCTTCTGGCAAAGCACAGATAAGACAGTCTTAGTGAAAGCCTCTAAGACTCCCAGACAGGTTGAATGAGATCCTGATCGTTTTAAAGGGACTCTTGCTGCTATTTGAAGCAGATTAGTGTACTCACCTGCTGAGGAAAGCATGTCCTCACAGAGTGCTCGGTGTAGCCAAATGACGGCCCCTCGAACACCGCCGTGGGGAGCTTCAACACTTCCCTCAGGAACTGGTCAAATTTGGCAAAGACCATCACCCCATTTGAGTCTGATATCTGGGAAAATATATCTGAAAGAGAGATGAGTTATGTTATCCCTAGTAAAAAAGTAATATATTAAAAACACATTTATTTCATACTAAGTATAGTTCAAATCTGTTAACATATTTTGACATATCACTTGAGACTTAATGATATAAAAATTATAATTAAACTTGTGCACAATGCATATTTCTTAATATTATGCCTGAAATGTGTATTAATATCACTATTAATAAGGATTGTATGATCTCTGTACAATATCGGTCTTCAAACGCAAGACATTTAAAGTGTACCTGAAGTATACTTGCAATAGTTCCACTTTAGCACAATCAAATATACTTCAGCATATCTTTAGATGGACTTCAGCACTACTTCCGCACAATTAAAGTTTATTAAGTAAGACCTTAAATATACCAGTTTAGTTTACCAAAAGTACAATTGCAGGGTATTTTCATTAAGTATGTATGTATTTTTATTAAGTATGTACCGGTAAATTTATTTTTAGTATACTTAGCATGAAATAAATGTATTTCGAATACATTTTAGTATATTTATTTTTCAATTGGGTTGTCATGGATAAATATTTAAGAACAAACTATTCAGAACGAATGCTTAATTTACATATTATCTATAATGCATAAGGAAGTCTAATAATTATCATTAATCATCACCAATAAGAATGATAAATTTATGCTCGTTGTTGTGGAGCTATAAAAGAAATTACAAATTTGCATCCCTAAAATTTACAAGTTGTAACTATAAAAAAAAAATAATAATAAAAAATAAAATCCATGAAATGGAAAACATATCTGGGTAAAATACATTATTATTTCACAAAAAAATTCCAAGCTAATGTGATGAATTGACTTTTGATTGGTGTATTTTCATCAAACGATGCAAAAGTATTCTGACCAGAACTGTCTATACAGCTAAAAGACACTTGTGGGATGAAAACACATTACTAGTATTATTATTATTACTATTATTATTATTAAATCTGAGATGCCTTTTAATAACTTTAAATGAGTATCCAGAAAACATTTTATATGTAATTTTGAGTATAGTACACATTATGTACAGAAGAGGGAGCCAAACCCTCAGTGAAACTTTTTGGCATAACAGCCCTTTTTGTATGTTACTTTAAAATAAAAGCATGTGTATATAAAATAGACTTAAATACACTTATTTCATATTATAAAACTTTGTATGAGCTTACAGTCTTTAAAATTGAGTAATACTGACAGTTTAGCAGAGAGAAATGTAACTATTTAGCAAAAAGAAGACAGCAAAATGACTACTTCCATAGATTCAATGCTAATCAACAACAATTAAGCCTTATACATCATATGAACTCCACTTTATGACAGAAAATATCTATTGTGTCTTTGTAAAATAACTGCTGAATAGCTGTATTATAGGCATGATACTTACAACGTAATTTGTCCAGTATTTTACCGCCACACATCGTAGCTAGCATTGCCTTCATAGCAAACACTGTGAGCTTCCCATGGCCTTCACTGAAACACAAACAACACATTATCAGAAGACGTGTCATAGCAATCCTAAGCCATAAAATTCTGTAAATTACATGTTTGGACTACACCAAATTTCGTACTCTTATAGACAATCTTTTGGAAATGTATGTGTAAACAGAATATGTACATAATGTTGATATTGTTACAAGGCCCACAACCTGAAAGCCAAAACTTATTATTATTATTCCCTGGTTTTTATGGGTTTTAATTTGAAAGTAAGTAGATATTACATTAACTATGTTTTTTCTGTACCTGATTTTGTTTTACAGTATATATGGTAAATTATTCAGTTGCTAGCTACATTTTGCAACAGGCAAAAGTGTAGAATGACAAAAAACTACATCACCTTTTTATTCACATTGTGCATATGAAGCTAAAATGTCCTCTAGCTAATTTTTAGTGTTGAAAAGTCTGATTCATTTTAGTGAATTGGTTCGTTTGAACAATTCATGTAAATGAACCAGTTCAAAATTGACTCACCAATTCATTTCATTCATTCAGTCCCTGTGCACCATCTTCTTTGTGTGTGTGTGTGTGTGCGCAGGGCCGTTTCTAGCCAATTTGACGTCCTAGGCGAAATCCCTATTGCCCCCTTTTGCTTGTCACATTCAAATTGGTTGTCATAGTAACGACACTAATTTGTGGAGATTCAGTGCATTGAGTTCCACAAATCTGAATGCATTATTTGTAAATTGACTGTTAAGATAAACATTTTGCACAATTTAGTATCTGTAATATCATTGTGTTGCCACTAGATGCCTGTATAGCCCTATGTAACAATCCCTAGTGGCTAAGACATTGCACATAATTTACACATAAATCACACATAAATTAATTTTATTACATTTTGATTTGGATACTATATACTATACTACTACATATTGTTTAGATATTATCAATGGCTACTTTTTTGTCTTTATCTGTTTTTTGTTCAATTTTTTTGTTGTTGTTTCTTGAAACATTGATTTAAAGTGTCAGTTATTGCATTATTATTTCAGTCAAACCCTTTGTTACCCCAAACTACATATAAAAGCTTTATCAGTGGCATAAAAGTAACCAATGCAGCTACTTAATCATTTGCTACTCGTTAACGCGTTAACGTCCCCTTTAAATAACGTGACGCTCTGTCCTCTATGACGCTGCTCCCATTAAGCGCTGTTGGAAGTGAATGAATTGATTCAGCATTTCGACACCTCTGTAAGGATGCATTTAACTCGACAAAGTGGTCTAATAAAGGATGTATTGATCTCGTGAATTAGCTAATTTTACTATACAAATATTTTTTAATTGGATGTTAAAGTTTATATGGGAATATTACATGACACGCTGATCCTTTAACAATGCATTGGCGCAAAAAACGCACACCTTTTGGACAAATGTGCCACAAATACTGCCTAAACAAAATACAGATTTTGTGCACTTTATTTGCTGTACCAATATTTTAAATTGGCCTTTGAATTTAGCTTTATTGCATGGCAAAAAAAAAGTGTTACCTTGCCAAAGCGCTGACAGAGCCCACTGATCTAATGCCATTGTTGAGCGCTCCAAATGCAAACTTTGCATGCAACAGTCAGGCAGCAATTGACAGCACTCTGATCTAGTGGCATACAGGCATCGTCAGATTGACAGTACTCTAGCCCAATAATGTTGGGGGATCCAGTGGGGGCAGTCATATTTCAGGGTGACCGTGCCACTCTTTATCACAACCCTGCTAAAAGTGCCAGTACGTGCGCTCATTGGCGCCCCTTCAGCTGGTGGCGCCCTAGGCGACCGCCTAGCTCGCCTATGCCTAGAAACGGCCCTGCTTCTAAGTTTGTCAGGTCTTCAGCAAATTTTGCATGTCAGCTTTAGACTATGATGCAGAGTTTAAACTTTAATAATCACACATTTTCAAATGTAGCTTGATGTTAATTGTACCTCTATTATATATATTTTAAAATGTGTTCTTGTAAGCATTAGGCTATAGATGGTTTGTGTTTCTGGTGTAGAACCAAACTTTATTTATCTTAGGCCTAATTTAATGCTGTAGCCTAGCCTATATTGAGAAGCGGACGATGTTAAATCCATATACGAGATAGGCCTACATATGTGAGGAAAATATGCGAAGTGCCTACGCCTACAGAGGTAAACCGTGTCTAGGCTCTGGCCCGGTCAAATCATTCACTGCTGATGACGGCATGGTTTAATATTTGGTTGAGCAACTGGCAGAAAAGGGCGTTTCGATTTTATTCGAACTGGTTATGTGTTTTCAACCGAGCCGAATTCTTGCTTTATTTTTGATTTTGAAAAAAGAAAAAGAAAATAAAAACGGTTGTTTTCTTATTTTTTACACGATACCCCACTCCTCATTTAAATAATTGATTAGACCGTTTCCTCACCTTGATGTGTTGAACTGTTTTCTCAAATTCCCCTTTAATGTTCTCTTTGTGTTTAAGTTTCGCTTGTAAGGATTTTAGTGCTGTATTTAGCTTCTCCTAGAATTCAACAAAATGAAAATACAAAACGGATCAGCTGCTGAGAAAATACATTAATATGATAACACCGTATATGTTATATAAAGCTAAGCCAACTTAAATAGAGACATTTTAATTTATCTTACCTTATATGATGAAACAGATTCACTGATTGGTCTGAATTTGTGGTTGTCGTGTGTTTGCGAATCTCTACACACTAAACACACAGGCTGTTCGTCACGACCTCCCCTTTAAAGACTGTGTCTCCTCGTTCTTCCACAGTAGCGGAATCATGACAGAATACCGGACCAAGAAAGTAAGCGGCGCCCCTTCTCCCCGTGTTTGTTTTTTGTTTTAGAAAGGTTTTTGTTTCCCGTTTGTTTCTCCCTGTTGTCAAGCCCGCCAGCCGCGGCGCCCACAAGCCCGCCGGCCGCTCCTGAGACAAGTTTGCCGGCCGCTCTGCTGTCAAGCCCGCCGGCCGTGGCTCCCACAAGTCCGCCAGCTGCTCCGAAGACAAGCCCGACGGCTGCGCCGTTGTCAAGCCCGCTGAACGCTCCTGAGTCAAGTTTGCCAGCCGCTCCAAAGTCAAGCCCGCCGGCCGCGGCTCCCACAAGCCCGCCGGCCGCTCCTGAGTCAAGTTTGCCGGCCGCTCTGCTGTCAAGCCCGCCGGCCGCCTCCTAAGTTTGCTCCAGTGTTGGCTCCAGCCCCAGAGCTCGCTCCTGTGTGGGCTCCGGTTCCCGAGTTTAGCCCACGGAGGGCTCCTGTTCCCGAGTTCAGCCCAGAGAGTGTCCCAGTCCCCGAGTTTAGCCCAGTGAGGGCTCCAGTCCCCGAGTTTAATCTCTACACACTAAACACACAGGCTGTTCGTCCTCCAGACAGAAGAGTTTGAGTTTCTCACCGTGTAAACTGCAGATTTCCTCAGATGTTGAAGGGCTCTCATTTATCTCCTTCAGAAACGACTCACACAAGTTTTTTAACACAAGATTTGTTGGAGGATCATCCCTTGAGGATCTTCTCCTGCAGACAGGACACTCCGGAGTTTCCTTGGTTCTCCAAAACTGTTGAAGACACTCTTTACAGAAACTGTGACTACATGATAAAACAACAGGATCCTTAAGTTTAGCCCAGTGAGGGCTCCAGTCTCCGAATCCAGTCCAGAGCGCACTCCTATGCCTGCACCTCCAGAGTGCCCTCATGACCCCGTTCCTGCCAAGATGCCCGTAATTCGCCCCAAGTATTTTTGGGGGGAGGGTTATAGGGCTCCAGCCTTAGGGGCGTGGGCTGGGGCCACGGCCTTGGAGGCTGCTCTGCCATGGCCTGCTGAACTGTCTGCTCCGCTATGGCCTCCTGAGTTCCCTACTCTGCCATGGCCTCCTGAACTGTCTGAGGACGCGCCTTCCGGGAGGGGGAGTAATGTCAGACTGTGTTCCCGTGTCTTGTGTTTTGTTCCCCTCGTGCTCCATGTCCTGGTTTTCCCTCGTGTTTCCTTATGCCCATTGCCCATATTTGGTTCTTCCTGTTCCTGTCCTTATTGTGTTGATTTGATTCCAGCTGTGTCCTGTTCATCTCCTCGTTATGTTCTGATTATTTAAGCCCACTTTCCATTTCCCGCGTCTGGTATTATTCTTAAGTTCTTCTACAAATGGTGAATCCATCTTTACTGTTTGACAATCCATCTTTTCTTCAACAATCTAAACTTTACTTTCACTTTCGGAATGATGCATTTAAAAATGAATGACCACGAGACACGAGAGAAGTCAGAAAAAGTTTAGAAAAAGACTTCTCAAAAATCCTTTTTGAAAGGGTTTCACTTCCTTCTCAACTAATCCCTGATACTTTTTTGCTTTAGTCAAGACAATAGGGTCTGTATGGCAGAAAAGAGTAAAAATAAGGGTGGAGTTCTGCAGGTCAGAAACATCAGGATTTATTCAGGTTAATGTGACCAAAATATATTCAAAATGAACACATGTGTCAGACTGTGTTTTGTTCCCCTCATGCTCCATGTCCTGGTTTCCCCTCGTGTTTCCTTATATGCCCATATTTGGTTCTTCCTGTTCCTGTCCTTATTGTGTTGATTTGATTCCAGCTGTGTCCTGTTCATCTCCTCGTTATGTTCTGATTATTTAAGCCCACTTTCCATTTCCCGCGTCTGGTATTATTCGTCCATGTGCTACGTGTATGTGTCTGCCTGCCCTGTGTTTCCCCGAATTGGAAGATTAAAGACTGTGTTCTTGAGTTTACTCCTGTGTCTCATTGTTCCTCAACAGTAGCGGAATCATGACAACATGAGAGAACATATGTTGATTAAAAAAAAGACTCAAGGCACTTTATTCGCTATTATTTGTTAAGCAATTTAGCAATAGATGGTGACAAATGAGCCCCTTTTTGAAATGAGCAAACCTATGAATCATTGACTCAAATGATTCTTCAAAAACAGTGAGTCATTCATGACTTATACAATGGATGTGAACGAAAACAGGTTTTTTACGTAGAAGATTAGCATAGCAAATATATCCAGGCTTACCTAGCTCATGATTCAATATACTAGAGAGTGTTCATTTTAGAGTGCCGCTTGCACTTCATTTATGACTTATGAATAAAGTGTAAAAGGCAGTCTAAAATGAACAAACTCTCTACTACAGTTTAAGTTTAGAAAATACAATGATTATTGTGTAGCTTGTTGCGGCCAATATTTATTATTATATTTAAAAGAGAACTATAAAATACATGTTAAAAGATTATACATTTTTAAAGTACAGATCTAATTTAACATATATGGGCAAAATCGATGATAGTGCTCCCCTTGTCTCTGGTGTCCATCTGCTGGAAACTATCCGTTAAAGAACAAAATTTGGTGCGTCCACAGGAGTGTCAAATTCAACTCCTGGAGGGCCACAGTTCTGAAGAGTGTAGCTCCAACACACATAGCTGTAGTTTTCAAACAATCCTGAATACCGTGATTAATTTGGTTCAGGTTTAATTAGGATTGAAGCTAAACTCTGCAGGACAGTGGCTCTCTGGGAACAGAGTTTGACATCCCTGATGAAAACTGTTGTTGGCTCTTTTGCTCCCCATGCTGCTCAAACTCCTCCATCACAACATTTTTTTCTTCCTAGATTACTGCTTCATCATGATTCGTAATCTTTTGGTATCTCTGGTATCTGGTAACCAAATTCAATGTATTCCAGCTGCACAGATACATTGTAATCTTACCTCAGGAAATATTGAAATCAGAACAGACAATTGGTTACGAAATAGGAAATATATATAAACAAACATATCACACTTCCTTTATGTTGTTAAAGTCAATTAAACTTGGCATTACACTACTGCTTTCATACATGCTGCCATAAACTCATAATACAGAATCAGTATAAAATGTGATGAATATAAATGATTTCTATTCACAATACACAGTAACAATAACAAAAAATGTGTTTATGAGAAAGTGACTATTTTGTTATATAACGGAAACCCTTTTAAAACCAAACATAGCAGAACATTAAACACTAACAGATCTCCCCTAATATTAATCCTGTGCAAAAACACATGAAATAACACTTAATTTCAACATTACTCCTAGAGTCTGAAACAAAGCATGCTGGGAACTAGAAACTAGCTTGACAAATTGGTAATCAAACAAATCAAATTATAATTAAACAAATTAAGTCAACTAAAATGTGTTAATTAGGATATTGGTTAAGTTAATATTACTATTTTCACACTGCATTCACTGCTTTTGGCAATTCTATGTCATCAACCAGTTTGTGAATGCAAAGATATTCAAACAACTCTTGCACGCAGCAAAACTAATGGCACGACAAGGTTCAAGAAAACCAAACTAATGCATATAAGCATGAATACAAAACATAGGCAGGTCATTTAAAGCCAACATGACTAAAGCCAGTGGTCTGCAGTAGGACAGAAGCACCTTTAAATCAAAACGAACAACATAAAAGCCAAAAATAATAATTATGCACAAAAATACATATATATAAGTGTGATAGAGTTCTTCTGGATGAAATTCACTACTATATGCATTTTTTTGTACCTAACACCATTAACCTAGATCAAGTCTGATGGATTGAATGAATCTATTTAGCCACCAAATAACAATCTCAGAAGTTGAAGTCGTCATCAGAAGCCTATTTGGTTGTGATTCGGTTAAAAATCTCCTCCCTTTTTCCTTTCTTCACCCTCCTCTAGAACTAAGCACCTTTAAATCAAAACAAACAACATAAAAGCCAAAAATAATAATTATGCACAAAAATACATATATATAAATGTGATAGAGTTCTTCTGGATGAAATTCACTACTATATGCATTTTTTTGTACCTAACACCATTAACCTAGATCAAGTCTGATGGATTGAATGAATCTATTTAGCCACCAAATAACAATCTCAGAAGTTGAAGTCGTCATCAGAAGCCTATTTGGTTGTGATTCGGTTAAAAATCTCCTCCCTTTTTCCTTTCTTCACCCTCCTCTAGAACTCATACATACCCTTTTCTCCTTTTCCTGAACTCAGTTTCATCTGGTCCCCAAGGAAATACAACATCCAATCTCAAATCTCACTGATCTCTCATTCCTGTAGGTAAGTTGGCCTGGAAGTAGATTCAATCAGTGTGAGAAAGAGACAAAGATACAGAAGAGAGATATCTGTGAAACCTTTGGTGGTTTTCAGCCAAGGCAATTAGATATAATCTAATGACCAAGAGTTAACAGATATGACAGTTAGTCTATGGTCATTTCAATGATTACTATTACTATTGTATTGTCAGTTATTCTTTATATAATTATATATAGCACAATGTTACGTTAAAATCGAAAATTCATTCACCATCTGTGGCTGAGAGCTCTGTTTTCTGCCTCTGTTTGCATATTGTTTGTGTGAATGACAAAAGAGTCACGCTGCTGACTTCTTTGGCAAGTCTAATGAAAGTTGATTCATGACTTTAAAACATGAGAATCACAGTCTATAGGACTCATTGTTTGGGCCACAGTGTTCCTGAATTGGTAATCCATAAAAAAAGACATTTGTAATTATTGTAGTTATTTTGTAGATTGCCTGTCCGCCACTAAATGGAAACTGGTTATTGCACTGACGTCAGAGCTCTACAACACAGATGCCTCAAAATCTCATCGTTCTCATCAGTTCTTCTTTTTGTCCCCCATCAAATTTATAACAAACATATCTGGTTTAAGTCTCATTTTCTTTCTAATTTTGGTATGCTGATTCCAGAAATAGTGCTCTAGTGCAGTGGTTCCCAACCCTGGTCCTGGAGGCACCCCAACACTGCATGTTTTGTATGTCTCCTTAATCAAACACACCTGATTCAGATCATCAGCTCATTAGTAGAGACTCCCAAGACCTGAAACTGGTGTTTCAGAGAAAGGAGACATGCCAAATGTGCAGTGTTGGGGTGCCTCCAGGACCAGGGTTGGGAACCACTGCTCTAGTGCATCACACTTTCTCACAAAATGATACATTTAATGAAGAAGCATTGTATTATCCCTTAATCATCAGAAAAACTGCCACAGATAAAGTCAGGCTACAACTATTTGTTCTCTGCCGATTCTCACATAGGCTATATGAATAATTCTGAAGACATTATTTTATGACTAATAATGATTTCTTTTTTCAGTCCTTTTTAAGATTTTAAGTTAAATGATACATTTTGAATACTTCTTTTGTCACCAAAACGTCTGATATTTGACTCTTTTTGTTATTTTGAGTAGTGCTTTAAAGCTGATATGTGTATGTCATTCGAAAAATCTTCATTCTTATTTTTTGTGTATGTGGAGGGCTATACAAAGTGGAAAGTTCTGATTGATAATTTGAACTGAGCATCATCAAATTAGGTAATATTACGTCTGTTTTTGGAAAAAAATATCCTTTATGATGAAATAACATTTTTGTTATTAGGTACTCAACAACCTTTCATAATTGTAAATGTAAATGGGGTAAAAATTCTGTGTTGGGAAATAACTCAAATTAGATTTTCAAATGGAAGAGCGAAGCTCTACAACTTGGTTTTTACAAGCTATGTCATATGTCTTAAGTTCCTGGTCTTGATGATGCGGTGGAAAATGAAGCTCTGTCTCCATGACCAAAATGAAAAGCAGTGCAAAATACTTTACAAACAGAACATTTCCATGTCGGAATGAAATTTGGATGCACTGTAGAGATTTGAATGAGTCTTGTCAACATTTTTTTGCTGGCATTTGCATTGGGACTCAAGTAGTCCTCACACCTAAAACGACTGTAAGCCTCACCCGCAACTCATCTTCTGTGTGCTTCTGTTACGCTTTG